GAAACTCATGACAAAGTCTAACAGGCAGTGTAATAAAGAAGAAAAATACTTTAGGAAAGAGGTTTCCAAACCAAGGCAGTTTGCTGTTGTTCTAGCCAGTAGGTTAATTTTAAAATTCCTGTTTATCTCATTCTGTTAAGTGAATTGCTTTAGCCAATAAGGACGCCTTATTCAAATATTGTATCCCAATAAATGAGACACACTGATGACATTTGTAGCCCTAGTACGGAGTTCTACCATTTGTCATATTTATCAGCACCTCTCCAGACAGACCAAGGCTCATTGCAGTCACCTGAAGGACGCTGGGTGCTGACACGATGCCCCAGCAGCCCGCAGCTTTCTAGTCCTGTCCAAGGTCCTGACTGAGAGGATGCTACTCCAGGCTGTGCCGGCTGTAGCACAGGGGCTGCATCCTCAGCAGCTCTGCAGCTGACTAGTGCAGGGGGAAAAACGAGCCTTTCCCAATAATTTTAGATGACTTTTAATAAAACTAATCTAGTTTGTGAGTTGTGAGAACTTTTCTGGGATTTCTTATCCAAGTATAGATATTTTTAATTTTAACATAACGCTATGTTGAGTGACATGTATGCAGCAATTCTTTTGGCTACATCTATCTGAGATGACTTCTACCTTGATGTGTTTTACTTATAATGCCACAATCTCACTCTTATAAATTACAATAAGATTCAGTGTCCTTTTTGAGAGGAGAGCAGTCGTGGCCCTAGTGTTTAGTTACTATGAGTATTTTCATTTTGCAGTGTGTTTATTCATATTTAATGTTTATTATCAGACAATTTAATATAATTGAACGACCCGAGGTTAATTTTTTAATTAATTAATTAATTTATTAATTTATTTATTTTTTGGCAGAACTGGGGATTGAACTCAGGCCCTTGCACTTGCCAGGCAAGCTCTTATTCTACTGAGCTATATCTCCGGTCACTGAGGTTAATTTTTTAGATTTGCATATATCTCAGTCTTTGGAAATTATAATACCATTATTTTCTTTTATGTTTATAATCAGGCTTTTCTTGATGCTCAGTGGACTAATTTTGGCTCTATGAAGGCACAGAAGCTCTGGAGGCCTTCCAAATTACCTCGGTGTATTTTATTGCTAAAACAAATTATTAAAGCGCCAAGTAAGCTAGTGAAGGAAAATTAGATTTGGTTTTCCAATGAGAGAAATAATAAAGAATATGTACCCATTTTTTAAATGCCAATTCCATTTAAATATGTGAGGCTGAACATGTGTAGTTATGTAAAGGCAACATCCATAAGTTGTTGCTATGTTCTCCTTACAAGTTTACAAAGGTAAGGTTCAGATGGCTAGCAGAGTGGTCCTAGGTTGAGTTACCACTGTTACATTTGGGACCTGGAGGGTCTGCTAAAGGCTCCTGGATTGCAGGCTTGTTCCTCCAGGGCAGCACTCTTCAGTGATGGGGCATTGGGAAAGAACTGGTCCATGAGGGCAGTGACCCCATGCGCGGATTAGCCCATTGGTGAGTCTGTGGCTTAGTGAGCTGTGTGGAAATGATGGGCAGTATTGGGAGAAAGGTCTTTGTTGGAGGAACTAGGCCACTGGGATATGCTCTTGAAGGGAATGGAATGTTCCTCACCCCTTCCTTGCTTTCTCTCTGCCCCTGACCACCCTAAAGTGTTTCCCTTTGTTTCAGTTACAAGGGTCCTGCTACAAAGCTCTCTTCCCTGCTGCAAGGTCAAAATAATGACAACAAGGGCTCAATGGACTAAGCACTTGCTTAGGCAAGCGCAGGGAACAAGGTTCAATCCCTGGCACCACATGGGCCAGCCCCACCCCTGGGCGCACTCTGCCAGTGACCCTGTCTGGGTATAGGGGTGCGCACCTGTAATCCCAGCACTGGGGAGGCTGAAAATAGGTGGATCACTATGAGTCTGAGTTGCCTCGTGAGACCCTGTACGAAATACATAGGATAATAATAATAATAATAATAATAATAATGTTGACAATAGGCTATGAACTGCAACTTCTGAAATCACAAGCCAAAATAAATCTTTCCTCTTTCAAACTGTTGTTGTCAGACATTGTGTCACAGCAATGGAAATCTAGCACAACCATTTAATATACAAGTAGGAAATGCTTGAAGGTGGTTTTTAATAATGCCAGAGTAAGCAAAGCTCAGTAATTTAAAGTAGTAATTTCCATATAATAAAGAATTTCATTATATCAACACTATATAATAAACATACTCATTAATTTTTATCCCTAAATCAGCAAATTTTCTATTGTAAGCTAACTATGAAAATTAAGGACCACAGTTATGTTTATACATGAGTATTTTTATTTTGGAGAAATGTTTTGGATTCCTTCACATCCATTAACTGATACATACCCTGGTCTTTGTAAATCCCTGAAATTCTATTTTCATGTAAATAGAGAAAACTGGAGAATGGAAATCTAGAGAAACTAGGACCATCCTTTAAGCTTGTGTAAAGCAGACACCCTCGTATATAATCCTGCAAATAAGAAATTACTTTAAATTATTTTATTTCTTGAAAGTGCTTACCACAGTGCCCCATGTAGCTTTCCAGCTTACGTCGTAAGCAGCACAGTAGTGCTGGTGCTAAGTACATTAGAAACTACTGCACGGACAACACCTGCTGCCTCCAAAGAGGAGCGGCCTAGTGGAGATGATCAGTTTGTCTTGGAAACAACATGCCAGCTGAGAAGCAGATGCAGAGAGTAGAGGTGATTTAGCAAGCTTATAAGATGCAGAGTAGAGGCGATTTAGCAAGTTTATAAAGCTCCAACATGCAAGTGCCATTAAATCTTGGCATGCTTTTCTATATATTTTATCTTATTTTCCACCAAAGCATCCTGCATTTGAGTGGAAAAAACGTATGTAATTGCTATGTGTGTTTGCAGAGCTGGTAATTTAAATGTACAGTGAACTAAATGGAAAGCAATATTTGCAAGAAGAACTGCTGCCAATTAAGTTAAAAATGTACAACAGGGGCTGTGGAGGAATAAGGAATATATTTTGAATTTTAAAATTCAATCTATATCCAACACTCCTACTTACTTTCTGTGCTATCTTGAGTTAGTACTGATCCTTTAATGGCCCTGACTCCACTGCTGAAAATGGAAATACTTATTCATTTGTATATTAAGTGAACTTGCATATAAAATGCTTTTGTAGAAAAAAAGTAAAAATCGGTACATGATATGAAAATAGTAATCATCATAACAATAATTAAGAAGAATCACCACTTTACTGAATTATTCAAAGTAAATTGGAGATTTTGTAAATGAAATTCAATCCTAACAATTGAAAACATAGCTCATGATTACTTTTCAGAAGGCTTTTTTCCCAAAGGTCCTTGTAGTAAATATACTTCATGGACTACACAGTCTGTGTGGCAACAAGTTAAAGCTGATACTTTAGATGGAAAGTAGACATAAGCAATACACTGATGAATGGATTTTATTGTGTTCCAATAAAGTTTAATTTATTTCAAAAGCTATCTGTAGACTTGTGCAGTGTAGTTTCTTTCCTGGAATTAAGAAAGTTGTGAAAAAGAATTTGGGAGCATGGATCCCTAAGCCTCTGTGCTCATTTCTCCACATGCTCTGTGGAAGGCAGACCGTGACTCCCCAAACACATCCATGTTCTAATTTCCAGGACTTGTGAATATGTCACCTTCCATGGCAGATGTGGTAAGGTCACATGTCCTAAATTGGGGAGGTCAGCTGGATGCCCAATCACAAGGGTCCTCATGTAAAGGAAGCAGGAAGTCAGAGAAGGGTGAATGTGCTGCACTGCTGACTTTGAACTTGGAGGAAAGAGACATGAGCTAAGAATGGAAGGGTTGCCTTAGACCCTAAAGACTGGAAGAATTTATCAAGTAAGTGTATTCTTATTCAGGGCCTCTAGAAAGAGTTTAATCTTTTCTATCCATTTTAGACTACCAACATGTAAGGCTATAGGAGAATATATTCATGTTGTTTTAATCTTCTAAGTTTGTGGTAATTTGCTCCAACAGTGACTTAATATAAATATATTTGTAGTGTTTGTGTGTATATTTCATCATAAAATGATTGTATGATAGTTTTAAAGTAAAAACTTCAACTAAAACATGCATGGAAAAAAGTCTTCCTATTAGAACAGGGATAAAATTCTTACTGAATAAGGCCAAGGATCTAGACCTCATGCTATATCCTCTCTTGGTTTTAAAGACTCAAAACTGATTATTTGATTTTGTGATACCTCTTCCATAGTTTGATTTTGTTTTTTGTTTGTTTGTTTGTTTGTTTTTTAGGGAAGGGTCTACAGGGTATTCAGGGTCTCACTATTAGATCAGACTTGTAGTGATCCACCTGTTTACAGTCTCCCAAGGACTGGGATTACAGGCATGTGCCACCACGTTCAGTCTCAATCGCCATCTCACTGTGCCCTGGCAGGTGGGGCCAGCACTGTAAGCCTGGGGATTGAACCCTTGGTCCCTGCTCCTGCTTGCACATGCTTTAATCCACTGAGCTATTTGGCCAGCCCATTCCATAGTTTGAATTGATCTTCATTAAAAATGAAAACATAGTTCTAGACATAACAGCAAACTGTAATAGGCTAACATGTTTATGTAAATTTTTAAAATTTATATATGAGTTTTGCTAAGTTACGTGCAGTTGCAATCTATAGCCCCATACGTGGTATATTTAGAAAATAAAATAATTTATATCTCTTACAGAATTTTCTGCCACAAATCCATAAAATGTATATGATCACAGTTTTTATAGAAAATGCATATGATCACAGCTTTTGTAGGAAAATTATCAAAAAGGAAAAGCCTTTTGAATCAGAAGATTGAGATTTATATTCTTCTCTGTCAGTTTCTCCAGTGGCCTCCTATCTTTCCACTACCTTGTGGAAGCAGAGTGACAGTTCTTTCTGTGCACGGGAAAGGCAGAAGAACTAGGGAGTTTTGAAGCTTATCTTGCTGCTGTTCAAATTTGTGCATCTAGTTAATTCTCTTAGTTTACATATTCATTTTATGCTAGCTAAAATTTATTTCTATTTTAAGTGTAATCATTTCATTACCTTGTATTTTGTGAATATATGGAGCTACCCTCTATGACCCCAAACTTTTAGCCAATATTGGTATTTTTAATAAAAGAAGTTTTTCAGATGTTCATTTGAAATAACAACATATGGAACCTTGGCCAGCGGCCAGCCAGGTAGACGGGGCTTGCTTGGTCGTTTCAGAAGCGCTTATTTCCATAACCTATAAGCAGAATTCAATTTTATTCCTTTTGAAAGAGCTCCTTAATCTCTTAGTTTCCTTATGGGAAAAGCTTTAGGTTTCTCACTAGAGTTCATGGTTATTTACTCTTTTAATTTTATTTGTTTGACCTTTCTAAAATCTAGGTTAGCACCCCAAAGTTATGGAAACAGAATCATAGCATGAGTAAGCTTTAATTTTTAATATCCAAGTGCTTATCAAGTCTTGGTGTGGATGCTTAAAAATGTTTCAGTGCAAAAACAAACAAATGAGCAAATCCTAACAATAGAAAGAAGCAAGGGAGAGCATTTTATCCAAAATTAGAGTTTCTCATAGCATCACACATTTAGCATTCCTGGCTTTCCCATCCCCATTGTGATTCTGAACGATGTTCAGGCTCTTGAATATTGTCTGGGGACATTTCTGCGATACTTGTTCCCAGTGACTAAAAATTTCCCATTCTTTGTAATGCAGAGGTCATGGTTTGGCATGTTTCATTAAAAAAATGGTGTGTAAGGTCCTGCATGTTTATCACTGTGAGCTCAATTTTTTTTCTATATTTAGGACACTGTCTACAGGGTCTCACTACGTAGATCATACTCATGGTGATTCTCCTGTTTTTAGTCTCCCAAGCACTGGGATTACAGGTGTGCAACACCATGCCCAATCTCAATCACTGCCTCAGCATGCCCCAGGGGCTGGGCCAACATAGCATGCCAGCGATTAAACCCAGCCATTGTGCTCTGCCTAAACAGGTGCTTTAGTCTGCTGAGCTATCAGGCCAGCCCTTCATTGTGAGCTCTAAAAGGTACTTTAAAAGCTATTCCAGTTTTGCAAGGACTCCTATAATACTTTCCATGACTTCTATTCTTTATTGAATCATGATAGTATACACCGAGGCCTTTCTACTAGGTGTCTCCGTGGCTTGTGGACCAACCTATGAGAACCAGGGTACAGGACAATCATGGTTTTTATAGTATGTGGTGGATCTTTAGGTCAGATAAGTTTTTAGAAAAGAAACACTCAGTCTTTACAGTTGACCTAACAAGCTGCCTTCTCTTACAAGAGGAAAATTCATTAATACTTTACTAAGAGTTGTTCGTATCAGTTGAGTATATGTCAGCGATGGAATCTTGGACTAATATAACTCTTGTGCACTCAGCCTTATTCCACCAGTAACTTGATAGCAAACTGGAGCAATATGGCTCTGGACCAGGTGTCAGTGTGACCCACAGCTCACCTGCTCCAGGCCACTTGGTGTGATGTTGTCAGGTTCTACTGAGCAGATGTGGTTATTTACACCTGCATTTCATTGGCAGTGAAGTAGTCACTTATCATACATCATGTTGGCTTAGTTCCCAGTGGACTGTACAGTTGTGGTCAATAAATTCTGGTCCATGTTCAGCAATTACTGATAAGATATACTTTAAAATTGCATTGCCTCCTCCTTTCTCAGAATATTCTACATATGTGAGTTTCCATGCTCTTCATATTTATAGGTGAGTGGTTGTAATTTGCCAGTAAAAGAAAAAAAAATTACAAGACATACTTTGGTTTTCAGATATTGTTCTTTTTCCCAACCATTTTCTACTCTTGAGATAACATAGTGCTTAAGATTGAGAGGTTTGGTTTAAAGAGCTCTGGGTGTTGCTGAGCCCATTTGTCTTGTGGTTTCCCACTGGCTACAAGCTGGCCTTAAGAATGTGTACTGTGTACACAGTGGTAATAGGAGCTGGTTGAGGACCACGTCAAGAGAGGCATAAAACCAGAAGTTTTGATTGGCCATGACCGGAGCATTTTCATACATGAGATCTACCACAAACACGAGGTAGGTGGTTAGCCTAATGAAGTGACACACTTCTCCAGATGTCTGATGTCCTTTCAAGCTCCTCACTCTGCCGTAAAACTATATACCAGATACCAGTGCATTCAATTAATAAGTTGGAAGCTCAGGCAGGACCTGTTTTGCATACTGTACTTTAGGTAAATAAACTCACCAAAAATCCACTTGTTCACTGTATTTCAAGTTTGAAACTTTGAAGTTTTGAAACAGCACATACAATGCCACTACCTGCTTTCCTCATTATGAATGGATTAAGTCCTTTGTGTGCTCTGAGCGTGTCACACACATCACTTGTGCCCCCCACAACCCCTCACTTTGAATGATTTGTGACTTATAAAACATTTTTTTTCTCCATTCCTTTTAAAATAGGCCTTTACTGAGTTTGAGATTGAACAACATCAAGAATGTGCTTACGATCACTTAGAAGTGTTTGACGGAGAAACGGAAAAATCTCCGATACTTGGACGGCTGTGTGGTAGCAGGGTGCCGGATCCCCTTGTGGCTACTGGAAACAAAATGTTCATTCGGTTTATTTCCGATGCGTCTGTGCAGAGAAAAGGCTTTCAAGCCACACATTCTACAGGTCAGCAGATTAGGACCACGTGTCTCTCTTTTGTCTCTTTTCCACTCTATGTGTGTATTTTCCTCTTTGAGGGTCTTAAAGGAATGCCCAAACCTGACAGATAAAATCTCACTGAAGCACTGTCTGAAATACTTTGTAGAATGCTTAGTATTCTATTTGCAAAAATCTTTGTAGAGGTTCAGCATTTGGACAAAAATAAATAAATAAAATACTTTTTTGTTTGGTTTTTGATCAGTGAAATAGGATCAAGTAAAACTATCAAGATACCTCTATAAGAAATCATATTTCCAGGAGCTGCTAATGTGTTACAGGAATTTTATACCTCGGTCAAAACTCATGCCCTGTCTACTGACCTTCCTGGTTAGCAAGTTTTTGCAGTAACTTATTTTTGTAAATAATTTTGGGATTTATCTGTCTGTTTCACAGTGCTTTTTTTTTTTTTTTTTTTTTCCTATCTCCTATTTGGTGTACAACATAATCTTTTCTCTACTACAATTCTGATTTAGGTCTTACAGATTTGAGCCATTCTAATAATCTTTAGTGAAAACATTTTAACTTAGAACAACCTAAGCATTCTTTGGCAAAAATGGAGAATACGATTGTTTACAGTTTGTGGCCAGTTTAATTATGTGTTCCATACACTACCTCAGGAATTCCTTCCTTTTTTTCATTCAGTTTCTTAAAATAAGTCAGAATTGTAGCTACTTGCTAAAGTTGCTTAGCTTATACTGCCGCCTAGTGATTTTTGCTAATACATAAAAGATTGATAATGGTGAAATCTATTTGGTGTGTAAACCACATCGCCCAATAGTACAAAAATTCATGCACGAAATAATTTTATACCAGTAATATTTATCATTCTTTTATTTTGATGTTTAAATCTGTATTTTAACTATTTTACCAATATTATATTTCAGTATATATGGTATTAGCAGCATATTTGAAGTCTGAGAAAAATAGATATGACTTGCCAGACGTTAATGTGGCTTGTAGTATTTAAATACTGTAAATTTACTGGAATCTTGTTCCTCACGTTTAATTTCTCATTATTAAAAAATATGTTACAGCTTGAGAAAATTTTTCACAAACTATAGATATACCGTACTGATGAGGTTTTTCACACACAATATTTGGCACTTAATCTTTAATGCCATACATACTGAAAAGGCAGAAAAATTATTGTACTTTAACAGTATTTTTAATAGCACAAAGGCCTTGGCATTTAAGGAAATGTCTTAGCTCTTATGGATTTCAAGAATGCCGTATGAAAATATGCTCAAAAACAAACTTCTGGAAATAGTAGTGATTTTATAGTAGTGAAAAATTATCTGACCATAAATTTTTATTTTTTATTTTACTCAAAACACACCTTTAGAGTTTTCTTTAAGTCCTTTGTAAAAGTGAACCTTAGAAATAAATGATGACGGTGTGTCCGTACCGCCGGATCCTCCGTCTGAAGGTGACTCAAGAGGAGGCTTTGCAAAGGACCGTTTCATTGGGTCTCATTTGTCATCCTAAAACAATAAAATCAAGGTTACTTACAGCTCTTAAAAGCTCACAGCTTCCTACATTCTATCCTTTCTACCCACACTTCCTATTTATGCACTGAAAGCTCACAGGAACAATATGAGATTTTGATTATCAATTTGATTTTTGGAAATGAAAATTTGGATGATTGTTTAACTTCCAAACATCTGCAAAATAGAATCAAAGTTAAAATGATTGGGACATACTAATGTATATGTGCCAGTTCCCCAAGTTGAATGCAATTTTTGTGTGTGACAAGAATGAAAATAGTGGAGAAACAAGACAGTAAAACTAAAATAGTGTCAAAGCCCAGGTTTTAACCTAATTCTGTCTTCAAAATTAATATACTTTCCACTGTGCATTTTCTTAGTGTGAAACTTCTGTTTTAGGAAGAAACTGATAAAAAGTATATGAAGTTTGATTTAGGAAAAAATAGGTAAAGATTGAATGCTTCCTTTAGGAGAGTTATATAGGTTTTCAGCAAATCCTCTGTTTTAAGTGTGTAACTAAAGAGGCTCAATTTCCTTCTCTGTTCAATTCTTGCTGATTCAAATACTTCCTGAGCAATCCCAGTCACATTATTTTCAGCAAAACAGGCCTGGGTATTATTTAATCCATCTCTGACATTTCAGACATGAGCAATCTTTGACCAAAAATTCTCAGGAGAACTGAAGTTGCATGAAAGTTCGTAACAGTTGGAATTAGCATGAGGCTTCACCATATCTGGTCTCTTCCTCTTGTCAGAATTTGTGCATTATGTGTTTCCTTACTGCTATTATTTATAAATATTTACTTAATGTGTCCAGTCATATTGGAATTTTCTAGCTTTTTAAATACTGTTTCTTTTTGTGCAATGTAGGCTGACATAATGTTGTGTATCACTTACAGTGTATGCCTCCTCCAGGCTAACTGGTTCAACTATTCTAATCTATTTTTTTTTTTTTTTTGACAACGGCTTTGGTGGATAATGTAATGCATTAATTTGTAGAAAGAAATCAGCAATTTGTAGGAATTTATAAGCCAGTAGAAGAAATTTCTGTCTGCTAACAGCTTTAGTCTAAGTTATTTTGATTTTCAGTTTATCTTTCTGTTTCTGTTAACAAGACAGCCAAAAGCAAACAACATCTGTCATCTTTTTCCAAATTTCAGCATTATATACTGCTTTCTAGAACAAATGCAGCAGTTATGGTTGTACAGTCAAGCACATATTTTAATGGGCTTAAATTTATATTTCTGTATATGATTATTTTTCTATAATAAAAACTTCTAGCATTATAACCAGGTTATTTGAAAAATGGGTGATTGAAGTTTTATGGGTTTTTTTTCCACAAATAATACTATCCAAGTCATGGAAAATGAATTTTATTAGAAAGAGGCCTTTTTTCTTCTGACAGTTGCTTCAAAACTAAATATGCATTTATCTTAATCAGGTGGCAAATGGTATTACTCCTACATTATATAAACAAATTGAAAGAAATTTTGTTTGTTTTTTTTAATGTATTTAGTACAGGGTGTTCAGGGTCTCACTACTTAGGTTGGACTCATAGTGATTCTCCTGTGTTCAACCTCCCTAGAGCTGGAATTATAGGTGCTCGCCACCAGGCCCAGTCTCAATCACTGTCTCAGTGCACCCTGGGCCAGGGCCAGCATGGCACACCAGGGATCAAACCCCAGCCACTGCGTCTGACTAAGTAGGAGCTTTAATCTGCTGAGCTATTTGTTTGGCCCGAAAGAAACACTTCGCAGTAAAAAAAAAAAAAAAGTTCTGTTTTTTTCTCAAAAGATATGGCTTAGCAGAAAGAGGGGAGAAACACAAAGAGAAAACAATTTTTAAAATGTGACATTGTCTATTAGAACATCTTTTGTGTAATATAAGGTATCATGTTATTTGTCCTTGACATTTAAAAAATCAAATGGTGTAGTATTGTGCAACTTGGAAAAAAATTATTTTGATCGAATCAAGGAAATTAGGACATCCACTAATGCATCCGTAGGTCAAATTACAGGACTTTTTCCAGAATTTTATGCTTCAACAGGAAAACACAAACATATCTTTTCAAATTAAAATGAAGACCACCTTGAGAGTCTCTTTCTGATACTGTTATTGATTGAGTTGCATTTTCTATTTCCCAGAATTCTCTAGAAAATATTCTTCTAAATCACCTTCAAACTATTAATTTAAAATCAAACTGCTGACATACCGAGCCACCTATTTCAAATTTTTTTCTGACTTGGTAAATGAATAGGGACATTCTTTAAGAATAGGTTGACTCAGCTTCCAAGTCATCTCCTTAAAGGGACCTATTAGATGTTGTGCTGACTAGCGACTGACTAGCCCTGGAGATTGTCAGCAGGACTGAGTAATTCCCTGGCAGTACTCGTCATTGTTTTTTTTTTTTTTTTCTTTGCTTTTATTGAATATGTATATCAGTATCAATAACAAAATAGCTTAGACTACAATCACTAGTAAACCAACTTAGCCAATCACTACTTCAGTTTTAAACTGCGAAATTACAAGTTTTCATGAGAGGTAGCAAAAATGTTTTCCTATACTTATGTGTATATAAGCATGTCCGCATGCTTAGATACAATATTGTGCACACCATTTTTTGCTCCTGGTATTTCTCTCAGGGTATGTGAAAATCACACATCTTGCACACATAGTCAAATGCTCAAAATTCCTCCTGTAGGATAAATTCTTGTTTTTTTATGGTTAGAACATTATCACCAGACTTGTTAGTAGGTGCCGGCCCAGCTGAGATGGCAATTGAGACTGGGCGTGGCGGCGTGCGCCTGTAATCCCAGCTCTTGGGAGGCTGTAAACAGGCGGATCACTACGAATCTGATCTAGTAGTGAGACCCTGAATACCCTGTAGACCCTTCGTTAAAATACAAAATAAATAAACAAATAAATAATAATAATAATAATAATAATAATAATAAAGACTTGTTAGTAGGCATGATTTTTAGGAATGAGGCTACGCACTGAAAAGATAAGCATTTTTACAGCATTTAAGATGAAGCATAAGTGTCACTTAAGTCACTTGTTTTTTAAAAGTAGGCCAGCTTTCAATAAAACCAAATTGTCCCACCTTCTGTGACTTCCATATTCATAAAGATTGCAAAATCTCTTTTCCTAGTTCGCTCACTCCATCACTTCCTTGATTTTTGTTCCAGCGGGGGCTGGCAGTGGATTTCTTCCCCAGGATCCGGGTCTGGAGTCCCGCCACTTTGTCCTGCGAAGCAGGCGCAGAGCCCAGGACTTCCTCCAGGACTCCTGTCTCCCCCTGCAGTTTCTCCTGCCTGGGGGCTGACGAAAAGCACAAATACTGACAGTGTTGCCAAAGCCAAAGCCTAAGCCTTCAATTAAAGTATCAAACATTGAGAACTGGTAGATTTTTAAAAACTAAAGAACGACATTGGTCTGGTTTACTTCTTTCTGTACTGAATTCAGAAACATGTCGCACAAAATATTTCTCTTGCCATCAAAAGTATAATTGTTCTATTCTTCTAGTGGATTAACAGTATTTGTAGTTTCCTGACTTTTCATTTCATACCTGAGTGGATGCTAGCTTACCAGCGATGAAATTTAAATGTGCTCTCAGGAAAATCATAACAGACACCACGGCTGCTTAAATACCGTTTATGGTGGCTTTTAACTGGGGGCCAGGCACCACTCAACCTTTTACAAGCATTTTCATTGGCTTGCCATGTAGAACTTAGGACCTGTGAGCTATGTATTATCTTCATTTTCAGAAGCGAAGCTTTGAGATATGGGGCACACTGCATTGTGGTAGGACAAACGCTTACTATGCAGGAGGCCGGGCTTCAATTCAGGGCACAAACAACACCAACACCAACAA